TGAAGAGAAATCTAAATTGATTTTCAGGTCACCTGAGTCACTCATGGAATTTTATTTTATTGGGGATATTTTGTTGATTTTCAATGGGAAATACTATTTCCCATTTTGGGGTTATTTTTACTTTATTTCAATATTATTTTATGTTATAAATAATGTTTACTATCTCTTTTGAAATTTTGGTCACTCCTCAACTTAATTTTGTAAAAGTCAATCCACAGTCAGAAGACGTTGTTTTTTTTGATAACATGTAATTTAACTCAGGTGAATGGCCCTTTGTGAATTAGATATATTAAAAACCATTTGAAAAACTGTAAGTACCCATAAAAATACACTATTTTGAAGAAAAAAAACATGCCTATGAGTTATTAATCTCAATGAAGCAATTTGTGAGTTTTCCATTTCCCGTTGCTGACAAGTGCATCCCGACCGGTCAACAACAAGGTGATACTAATTCATATATTTATAGGTGATTTAATGAGTTCAATTGTCTCAAATAGACATTGGCAAGCAGTGAACATTGTATACTGATAGCAACTTGTATGTATTACAAAACCAAACGAATGCGCTTTGAAACCTCGGGAAAGTCGACAGCAATCAATAGCGCTCAGTTTTCTATGTGTTGGTTACTTTGCATTATCGCTCAAATTTTATCGAAACAAATAGTGAAATGTCTCACTTATACAGATAATTGTTTTTCACATTAGCTTTAAATCATATCATGACAACTACGCAATACAAAATATGTCCCGTACACTGGCAGTCCTCGCACTCGGCTTTTCCGTACAACAACCACGTAGCTAAACACGTTTAATAAAGTGCATATACCTGTACACTTTGTTAAAATTGGTAACTTATCCATTCGCGTATAATTAATAACTAATTAGTATTGTGCAAAGCTTATTTTCTCGTTGTTAGCCCCATCCGGATACACACAACCGTCAACACACTATTACTCACGCCACATAAAAACTTTCCGGAATCCGCTACCCGGCACACCGTTTTTTCGTTATCTAGCCCGAGTGTCAATAGCCACTCCGTTGAATAAGATATATTTACACACATGTTCAATTTTTATTACACATAACCTAATTGATATATAATAGACTTTAGATATGTACAACAGTCATGAAAAATTGTATTGTATATGCATATACCGGTAAATCTCAATCACACTTCCACCGGTTTTTGCACTATATTGATGTTTGTAGGTTGTTTACCGACTTAGTCGATAGTCCCAGGAGGTGCATGATAGTGATCTCATGATCAGGTACATTTAGTGTGTAAAATCTGTATTATGGACTACATATATGGGTGGGGATAGGGTCGGAGGTTTTTGTTTTGGCCAGTAATCAGTAACGTCCGTTTGGATATATACTACGGTGGCTGATATGTGACATTTCGTTGTTTCGTCTTTTCGCCCCGAAAGGACACCTGTTACTATAGATAGTGTGACACCTGTTACTATAGATAGTGTGACCTTTCGTCAAATTATAAGCAGAATAATGACCACGAAGTTCCAACACAGCAAAAAAATGTATATGCTGGGACTTCCTCGAGATCGATATTTTTGTGCGAATTCTTTTTTTACTTAAATATTCACGCACATTTTTATCAGAAAAGATGGCTTTCTGATTATGCAGGACATCTCGGGTAACATTCAGTAGAATCCAGAATATCGGCGATACTTCCACACTTCTGCCGATGTGAACATTCATTATTCACTCGACTCATCCGATGTTCATCACAGGGACCTGATAATTTGTTACCGCTATATTTGGACCTAAACTAAGGTGTTCAGAGTTCAGAGTAATTTTACACGTTTTAGGGGTTAACATACCCCCCCCCCCCCCCCCCCCNAGAAGTGAGGACAGCTCTCGATACCGAAAAATCGACCCACCTAACGTTCTTGCTCCTGCACTAAAATAACGTGAAATCTGAAACTATAAGAAAAAACACTGTTCTACATAAAACATGCTACAATAAATAATAGTTACATCAATTTGTACTGAAAGAGGGCAAGCACATGCACTCAATGTATATTAGCACTTCGAAATTTAAGCTACAATCATTTAAGCACTTGAAACAGTAAAAGTAGCATGCAGATCTGTTGAAAATTAGCACTAAAAGCTGAAGCGATTATAAAACATTGACATGCAAGCTTACTATAAATGGGCAGCAATGTATATATATAAACTTGTACTAAGCTTGAGCGACATTAATACATAATCAAAATAAAAAGCGCAATGCGTAACAACAGACATGTGGACATCACTGTAGTTCGACATTACCTTTTAGTAAACATATACAGTTGAGGCCATCCCACATCTGGAGCTGTCTACAAAATTCCCCAAAGTTTTCAACCTTTCATAGGCCATTGGGTAGCTAGGCAGTTCCAAATGCGGGCGACCTCAAAGGCCGATATCCAACAAATAGAAATGGTGCAACGCAGAGCTGATCGGTATGTCACAAACTGTTTGCCAGAATAAATCTATGTATCTATGTGTCGATAAGTTATGTATAAATCGCGCATGCTTAAAAATTTCATCCGTTTTATATGTCAAAAAGAAGAGTTTGTAGATAAAAGAAGTACCAATAACCTACTTGTGTCTTCTCAAGCAGGTTGTAGATAAGAGCATTCATGTGAAACTGCTTTATGAGAAATTGTTAACTCATGGGCACATGAAGTTGATAAAGGAAACATCAATGGTGTTGTCCTTAAGATTTTAGAAAGATATTGATTGCGTAGACCATGATTGTTTTAATAGGAAAATTGAAACTCTACCAGTGTAATGATGTAACTATAAACTCAATCTGATTAAAATCATATCTCTGAACCATGGCTTCCGATCAGGATACTCGTGTGAAACACAACTCATTACCACCATTGACGACCTACTGAAATCTTTTGACCGTGGCAAACGAGTGGACATGGCAATACTTGACTTCTCCAAGGCCTTTGACACAGTTCCCCATGACAGACTACTCCACAAGCTGGATTCATATGGGATCAGAGGACCTCTGCACCAATGGCTAAAAACCTTCATAACTCGCAGGAAGATGCGGGTAGCCATAGAAGGAGAACTCTCAGAAGAGGCAGCGGTTGAGTCAGGAGTACCACAAGGAACAGAACTAGGACCCCTACTCTTCCTTTGCTATACAAATGACTTGCCGGACTCTGTGAAATCAACAGTTAGACTTTTCGCAGATGACTGCCTACTCTATCGAGAAATAATCTCAAACAAGGACCACGAAACACTTCAAGACGACGTTAAACAGCTCGAAACTTGGGCTGCAAACTGGGGGATGAAATTTAATGCCAAAAAATGTTACATTCTTTGCACGAACAGCCACAGATTGGAACCACCTGGACGACATCACAGTCGGGGCGCAAGGAATAGAGGCATTTAAAGCATCAATCCCTACCAACTGGGATTAAACCACAGGGTCACGTTGCAAATGTCTGAAATACACATATGCTATACTGATACGGGTCACAACACACATAAATAATAGTATGTGTATGTGTGTTGTGACCCGTATCAGTAGCATATGTGTATTTCAGACATTTGTAACGTGACCCTGGGATTAAACGAAGCTAGGTATCGCATGCGTGCCTCCGCATTAAAGCCATTTTGGTCTCTGTGGAGTATAACATATAGATAGATAGATAGGTAGATAGATAGATAGATAGATAGATATCCTACATCCACTACGTATCATATGAGGCTGTGAATGTAGGATATGATTTTAATCAGATTGATATTAACTGGTTCAGATCTTACCTAACGAATAGAAACCAAAAACTTAAAGTATCTATATCTGGACTTTTATCTCAAAACATGCTTATTACACACGGAGTTCCTCAGGGATCTATATTAAAACCTCTTCTGTTTTTAACATTTATTAATGATCTGCCATTAGAAACACAGTGTGACCCTGACATGTACGCCAAAACATGATCAACATCTGGTTCCTGTCCTGTTGATGTTCAAGATAAATTACAAACCAACCTTAATCAAGCACCTGCATGCATATCATAATTAAAAGCATGGTTTTAAATGTCGCGGCAAGCCCTGATCATTATAAGCTGTTAAATGTACTCTCTTTTTAAGATATACATATTGTATATACCAATGCAATATACCAATAATGTCTGACAAACAATTTATTAGATGTTTTACTATAATGTCTGTGATAATGTTGACATTGTAATTTTACTAACTGATATTTTACTAACAAGATGATCCTATAGAAGATAAGCTTTGCAGGTTTTATCCTCAGAAAATGAAGTTTATTATTATTATCATAGAAGTGTTTTGAAATCAGTACTAAACCAGGGATGTGTAGTAGTCCACTACACATCCCTGACTAAACTCATTTAAAAAAACCGCAAGGCTCAGGCTCTCTTGAACTTTTTCTAATTTATAAGTTGCAGTCTGGCTACAAAATGCCAAACAAGAGGACAGTAGTCAAAATAAAAGACGGACAGAGGGACCACGGACGAAGGGTGAATTGCACCAAGTACCTAGTTTAGATAAAAAAAAAAACCCAAAAAAACATATTTTTTCTACATGGAATCGTGACCGATGATAATTTAATTCCATATTAGACCTATGTTCGTGTCGAGTACTCGCAGGTTCAACTAGGTCACGTCTTCCTTACTATAGTCTCTTCTCCAACCCTTCTTCTGATCCAACCCCCTATCATTCCGTTATAATGATATTATATATCATGATGTACACTATGTTTTATTAAATTGTAAGGAAAGGACGAGCATAATGTTCATGTAACTTAAGCTTGTGCCCAATCCTTTTGCTGAATTTAATTTATGGCAATAAAATATGTTTCAACTAAATTAATCCTATAGATATATGTCTTTTTTTTTTTTACATAAGAAAACTATCTGTTAAAATATTAATGTTCACATTGAATCGGTCGTTCCGGATAAAAGCAAAACTCCGTTTTGACATTTAACTCATACCGTATAAATAAGCGTTTGACAGACTTTGATCACGCCCCGACTGAGGCATGGCTGCTCTGTGGAGGTCAATTCGGCATACTCGAAAATACCGAGGCACATTTTGTAAATATTTAGGTAAATTGGTTGTTAGTTAGTTTGTAGAAGGAAGAAACATATGTTAAATTTTCGTTCTTTTTGTCAACTTGCCATTTCATCTCTACTTTGAGAATTAAATATTTCGAAGTCACGTCTCCAGTATTGACGATTTTATAGTTTTATTTTCAAAGATATTCGCTTATATAGTAAGATAAAAATATATGGTAAGGAAACACTCTCTCCAAGTGTATCCAATATTTCAAGATGAAATTGTTACGTTATCCTCTCTTGAGTATATAGAAATCTAGTGAGATGTGAGGTCTTGACAACTAGAGTTATTTCTTGGAAAGTAAAATATGTAAATATTTCATAATTCATTTCTTTTTCTTCAGAATTCCGGCGCTGTTTATTGTCTGACAATTATCAATGTCGAGAAGCATGGCAAAATTATCTCAATTCACCAATTCTAACGCAAGTCGAATTTGGTAAGATGACTGTTTCAGTTTATTTTGTACATTTTTAAGATTGATCCAGCTCTAGTGCAAACCGATATAGTCACATTCAATGTTTATGAACGAAGCATTAAAAAAAGAAAAAAAAAGTGAAAATAAATAATTACGTCTAAAACCAATTAACTAACCACAAATTCCTAATATATAATTCAGTCTGTTGAGAGAATTGTGCCTAAAGACAAGTTAAAGTTTAAAATTACATTGCACCAAGTACTTATTACTTGAGCTGCCAGAGAATGGGAGAGATGCCCCTTTTCTGAATTCTGTTGTTATAGATTTTGTTTGATGTATAACAGGAGAAAGTGAAATTCAACATTCAGACTGAGATTCCAACCCAGGACGTCCAAACTCTCTACAGATGCTCTACCAATTGAGCTACCTGGTCAATGACGATCGATCCAGTCCAGCTCCACTATATTCCTCTCTCTTTTTTCTAAGTCTTTGTCTCCAAAGACAACACTACTAAGTAAACAATCCAGTTTGGGTTTCCCCTTGCCAAGCACTCACCCAGTTAGAGTTGGTAATTATAAGCTTACCAATTTTGTAACAGGAAAAAGAGAACCTGGGACACTCCAAACTTTAGAGGGATGCTCTACCAATTGAGCTACAAAAGGGAAATTACCCCTAGCACAAAGCTAGGGCAGCCGTAATCTTATGTACTGTACAATTAAAATCTGCCACACTACTACCCCCTTTTTAAATGTGTTCTCCCTCAAACACCACAACAACCCAGGTTCCAACTCTATTGTCACCACAGTAAGGGTCATGGACACCATTTGAAACAGGAAAGAGAGTAGTGCATGTGCTTCCGACAGAATTCAAACTTGCCGATCCCCATATACTTGCCAACTTTTAAAAAATTTCATCAGAAAATTGTGTATGCTCAGAATAAAAAGCATATATAAAATGTGTGTATGTACACCCTAGGATAAAATAACACTTGTAAATTACATCTTTTGAGCTATTCTTTCTTATGAACTCATCAGGAATAATTTAGTAAATACATTGATTGAAAATGCACAAATATAGGGGCCAAAATCATGAGGCTACCTTCAAATAGGGAGAGTTGGCAAGTATGGATCTCAGACTTCCTAGTCCGACGCTCTACCACTGCGCTAAAGGGAAATTCCCTTTTGCCCAAAGCTAAAAGGCAACTGTAATCCTTCTTTAATTATGTTAGCTACTTTTCTAATTGTTGGGGTGGGCAGTGTTAGTTTGCCTGTGACTGACATTGCTAATTATTCTAATATTTTGTTCCATTATAATTAATTGTATGGTTGATCTTATTGCAGGTTATCTTTCTTACCAAATGTATACAAAATTTGATAATCAAGGCTTCAGCAGTTTAATAGATATGGACATCGTAAGTATAAACTTTTCTTTCAAGTCATAAAGATTACAAAGAATTAATTTACTAATATTAAGATTTCAAGAAACGTTTCTTAAAATGTTCTTATTTCAAAAGCATTATACATATAAAATAATTCTGCATCTCGGTATCAACACAAAGGTTGCCAAAACTGATTTGAATTAGATGTTTTTGTAAAATATGTTCACTGGCTTACTGTTCAATTTACAAAATTAATTGACTAAAGTTAGTTAATAATGACTTTTGTCTTTATCATTGTCTGAATGACAACAAAATCAGAAAATCTCTGATTACAATATACAGTACATGATACTATCTACTACTTTGTAAAGACTTTATTTAAAAAAAGTTTCATTGTACATATATATTGGTACCATAGCTACAAAGTACATAATTATTATAACATAATTATGATCAAAGAAATGGATCGGGGTGAAATGTTTTTTTTTAAATCTCCTATCTGTATGAATATGCATTTAATTGAGAACAATTTTATTTTAGATTTCTGGATAGTTACTTTTGGTTAATTACACGCTTTTACTGTGTAGAACAGCTATTTCAATGTCTTCTCTGGTTACAACTTCTGTCCGGTGATGTAAGTGAAATATCTTACAGAAATAATATTTAGACCTATAACACTGCTTTTCTTTCAGCTTGCCAACAAAGTTCAGACGATGCATAAACGTGACCATGAATACCTGCAGAGAATAATGAAAATGTATGTTTGAATATTTCTTCTGATTACACTGCTGTTTATGAAAATTACTTCTGCATACAGGCATTTCAGTAGACCCGTGAGGGTATGATTTGGATTCCCCAGAACACAGTAACTATCTGTGTCTATAGCAAACCTGTCTTACAGTAACTGTCTATAGCAAACCTGCCTTACAGTAACTATCTGTAGCGAACCTGCCTTACAGTAACTATCTGTAGCAAACCTGCCTTACAGTAACTATCTGTAGCAAACCTGTCTTATAGTAACTATCTGTAGCAAACCTGCCTTACAGTAACTATCTATAGCAAACCTGCCTTACAGTAACTATCTGTAGCAAACCTGCCTTACGGTAACTATCTGTGTCTATAGCAAACCTGCATTACAATAACTATCTGTAGCAAACCTGCCTTACAGTAACTATCTGAAGCAAACCTGCCTTACAGTAACTATCCGAGCAAACCTGCCTTACAGTAACTATCTGCCTTGAAAAATATCTTAGCTAATTTATGATACAAAAGTATCTTGGCTATAATGATATGAAAATATCTTGGCTATGATGTCCTAAATAAATTTTATAATTATTTTTGTTTATGTTCGTATTTACATGTGCTAACTTTCTTACCTTCTTCAGGTTTAGACAAAGCAGGGATGCATTTCCTATACGTGACTCCATTGTACATGGTATTGTACGGAACTACTTAGACAAAGGGATGGACAAAGAACTTATGCAAATGCTACAGGACAGGGTAAGTGTAAATATCACTGCAACTGAATACGTCAGTTAGATTATTGGGTATGTGTATATACATATACACTAACTGTAACTGAATACTGCTGTGACCATGGTAACAGAGGTGTAACTAGCTGTAAGCGAATACACATGTACAACTAGAGGTTTGAGTAGGTATAATACATACAGGTATATACAATGTACATACAGGTATATATATGCATGTACTTGCGTTAAAGTAAAAACTACTGTGGTTCAATTTCTAAACATTTTTTTTTTTTGTATTACAGTAGTATAAAAAGTAATCCAAAGATAAGAAAACTTAAAACTGCATTGGTACTATAAAACATTATATCACAGGATTTTAATTATCTCTTTTAATTAATAGATCATTATTAAATATTACCGGTACATCACAAAGTTATAACTGTATGAGTAGATCACTGTGAGCTATTCCATCACATGTCTGTCAGTGTATAAATCCAATTAGTTGATTACTTTTCAAGGTCAGCAGCAATGCTATTTTGACTTGTTTTGAGACTTTTTCTTGGCCAGTAAATTTAAAAACAGAAAAAGAGCTTGCTATATATGATTGACATTAGAATATATTGTGATCATAATACAATGTATCAACTCAATGATTCAAAAAATTCTAATACATACAATAATTTCTGATTTTATGTTACAGAAAACATTTGGTTTATTCCCTGATCCTTACACATTCAATCTGTTGATGGACCACTTCCTCAGGCTCGAACAGTACCCTGGTAAGTTGTACCTAAAACTTCCTCAGGCTCGAACAGTACCCTGGTAAGTTGCACCTAACACTTCCTCAGGCTTGAACAGTTACCTGGTAAGTTGCACCTAACACTTCCTCAGGCTCGAACAGTACCCTGTTAAGTTGTACCTAACACTTCCTCAGCCTTGAACAGTACCCTGGTAAGTTGTACCTAACACTTCCTCAGTCTTGAGCAGTACCCTGGTAAGTTGTTCCTAAAACTTCCTCAGGCTCGAACAGTACCCTGGTAAGTTGTACCTAACACTTCCTTAGGCTCGAACAGTACCCTGGTAAGTTGTACCTAATTCTTTCTCAGGCTCGAACAGTACCCTGGTAAGTTGTACCTAACTCTTCCTCAGGTTTGAGCAGTACCCTGGTAAGTTGTACCTAACACTTCCTCGGCCTTGAACAGTACCCTGGTAAGGTGTACCTAACACTTCCTCAGGATCGAACAGTACCCTGGTAAGTTGCACCTAACACTTCCTCAGGCTCGAACAGTACCCTGGGAAGTTGCACCTAACACTTCCTCAGGCTTGAACAGTACCCTGGTAAGTTGTACCTAACACTTCCTCAGGCTTGAGCAGTACCCTGGTAAGTTGTTCCTAACACTTCCTCAGGCTTGAACAGTACCCTGGTAAGTTGTACCTAACACTTCCTTAGGCTCGAACAGTACCCTGGTAAGTTGTACCTAACTCTTCCTCAGGCTCGAACAGTACCCTGGTAAGTTGTACCTAACTCTTCCTCAGGCTCGAACAGTACCCTGGTAAGTTGTACCTAACACTTCCTCCTAGTGTTAAAAATATGCCTGTGCAGGAAATTACAGTATAATAAAAGTATACAGGATGCAATAGGGTGGAAATGTTTGGAAATGGAAATTGATAAAAGAGTTTTGCGAGGCTGTGTGAATGTCACATGATGAAATAAGTTTGTAAAGCAGGACAGTTATAAGTCCTTCACCGGTACTACCAGGGAGATACCTACACACAAGACTAAAGGTTGCACTCTGTCAATCAGTCATTACGTAACTTTTTACAGGTCATTCCTCATTTACTTTGTCACATATGTTTGGCAGATGTTTTATGGGAGTACTTCTTGAGATGTTGGAGTGCCGCATACTGAAATCAAGCCGTCTATAGTATAACAGAGTTATGGTATTTTGTTTATTGTGTATGTTTATTGTGTATGTTTATTGTGTATGACATGTATGTCCGGTGCGTATCTTATATACTCTCTCACTTACACTAGCAAAATTTCTATGCATGTGCAACATACTTTTGTAAATGCTGAGAGTTACATACTGAAATTATTTTTTTTGCCCAGTTATATATATATATATATGCTATTAATTTTGTAGGGAGCATAACTTCCTTGCTATTTCACCTGCATTGTTCATTCTCCAAACTTGCTACACTTATGTTTCATTAGAAGCAGAGAGTCACATAGTGACTCGGGTCCTGCAGTATTACAATACTTAGTTTATTTTCAATGTACTAAAACTTGTCTGGAGCAAAACTTCTCTGCTATTTCCACCTATATTCATCAAACTTGCTGTACTCATGCTTTTTTGGAAGGCAGAGTGTTGCATACTGATTTCTTGTCTTGTGCTAACTGTTTAACATGAAATTTTTGTGTGTACTTTCTTTTGTGGTTTGAAGCTTTCAAATTATTTAGTAGATACAAACTTTCGTGGTAAGCCTAGGCCTGTACAACGAAATGTATTAATTTTCGTTGTTATCCACGTACAAAGAAATATATCCACCAATCCGAGAGTCATTGGTCCAACATGTACACCGTAACACATTTGCGGTATGTTTCAAAATGACATAGAGTCACACTCATCATACTTCTCTGTTCATGTCAAACAATTAAAATAATAATCACTCAGGGAAAGTGAATATAACTGCAGTGGGAGTGTTGATATCATGCTAAGAAAACACTGACCTGTTCAATTATCTTAACATCTTCGTTTGTGAATCGCTGTGTCAATAACACACGGAAATGTGAAATCTGTATATAAACTAGAGTATGAACCCAGTCTGATGGAAAGTTCATATAATGTTCACATTTACGATGTGTATATTCTTTCGAGTAGTAGAAAATATTCGTTGTATTTATAATTGTGGTTCCAAAGCAACCACAAAAACAACGAAAGTTTATACACAACGAACATTTCATGTTATACAGTACTACTGTATAAACAAAATTATGGCTCTTTATTTCTTTTGTTTGAAGCATGACTGCTAGTGCACTTATGGGTCAATATAAATGTTTAATGGCATGCATATGTCATGGACATCTGATTTACACATACATTACTTTCGGTTCTAAAGGCCATGACGGTGGGCCATGAAGGTAGGCCATGGTATGATAGTAAATGTTTTTTTAATTTTTTCCAGAGGCTGCGAAGGTGGCGTATGAGTTAATGGTTCAGGAAGACTTCAGTGATCAGTTGAACTTCCTCTTGTCCTTGTACACATGTACTAAGCACCTGACACAGACAGCTATCATGGATGCCCACATCAAGACTGAAGACCCTGAGGATGAAATCGATGACGATGACGATGATGTAATATTTTGTTGTTACAGTTTTATCTTTTAAGAAGCATATTTTGAAGTAGATGTTGATAAATAAGTGTAAATATTTGTTATTCTTTCATTGTTCACTGCTCATTGATACAACATACTGAAAAAGCATAATATTTCGTTGGGGATTTAATTTTGTTTATTTCGTGGTTTTTAGAAATATAATCCCAACGAAATTTTAAACACACGAAATATAAACTAAACGAAAATATGTATAACACAGTGACATCACTCTTTGTATATAAGCTATAGATCGTGACAGATTTGACCGATACTCAACATCGAGTGAGTTAATCTTGCCCGGTCTTACCTGTACTATATTAACCTGCACTGTGTCGTCACGCCTGTCAATTTAAACTTCTTACTTACCAGAAAAAAAATACAGGGTTTTAAAATATCAATTCCACAAAATAAAGTCCCAACAAATTTGTCCCCACACAAAAACAACAAAATTTAACCCCAACAAAAATATATGCTTTTATAGTATGCACCTGATTAAATAAGGATTCTATTCTGTAGTACTATTTCTCTGCGGGCCGAGGGTTGCCAACTTCTAAGGAGGCTCAAGTGAGAGATTTCCATTGAGTAATTCATTGTGTTAGACTTTCAATAGCATCTAGGCATAATTTTGTTTCAGTTCTTGAGATATTTACATATGTATCAAAAAAATCCTGGCTTTCTCTAAATTCTTTAATATCTGGATTGTTTTTCATTTCAATTCAAAGTATTTATATTTAGATAAAAAGAAAAAAACCTATTTTGATATGTATTCATCGCAATGACACATGACATCAGAAATGCATCACATTGTTTTCACAGTTCTGTTTCCCCTCTTGTAACATTTTTTCTGTAGCATAGGCTTCATGTCAGAATGAGAGAAAAAGAAACAAATTTCAAATGTGTGAGATTTAAGACTCCTGGAGAGTGAGAAACATTTCAATGGGAGTCTCACAATGTGACTGTTGGCTCTACCTTCATTCATAAATTAAGATAAAAATAGACAGACATCATACTAATGCTGAAACATACACTTTGGACCTTTACAAGTAAAGGGAAGCAACTCTTATTCGTGATGTTGATGGCGCAAGTTATGTTGCTTAACCCTTTCACCCCTAGGTAACTTTAGTAGACTCTATTATACATTCATCTGGACGAGTCCATTATAGTCTACAGTGGTTAAAGGGTTAACTACCAATTTATTATTTTACTTTATCTATATAATTTTAACAAAATATGAAACTGAAGTTTGTTTGAAATCCACCAACTGCAATCCGCTGTAAACAATTGTCAATCATGCTTTGGCATTTCTTTCTTCAGCATTTGCAATTTGGGAGCATGGTAAGCCATCATGGTTTGGCGTCCCATTCTTTTAGGCTTATGGCAAAACCACCTCTGTTGTCCCTGGATCACCTGGATCACAGTATGGACAGATAATACTATCCTGTGCCTGGGACTAACTCTGATGACAGAATTATAAATGTTTCAAGTCTGTAGATGACATCGTCAAGGTCATGCGCTGTAAAACTATCTGCCCTTGTTTTGCCTTGAATATCGTACAGCCTTTATGAATGGTTGATCCACCTCCAATTGAGTTTTTTGTGGTAGACACTATGGACAGGACTTCGATATCGGTTTTATATTCATCATTGATCTCAGTGGTAAATCTGATTGAATTCAGCTGGTCAGAACATAAGTTAATATCTTTTATAGGTCAAAAGATCAGTGTTGTATAATTTTGTGAGCTCCCTTTGGGCCATTCATTTTGTTTTTATTATTGTACTTATTCGTGGCAGTGAGATATTTATTAATGACTTTTCTTTATTGAACAGAACATAGAGTGGGTGGCCGTGAAAGTATTCCAAGCCCCACACTATGACGATCACTTCGACATTCAGTGCGACCAGTACAAACTTGGCAAGACTCTGTACATGCTCGGCTGCGTCCAGGGGGAGGGCCTCTTGGGACGAACACTACAGATAACGGGCCTGGCCCTGTATAACAAGTTCGACAAGGCTTTGAGTCTGCTGACACAGTGGCAAAAGTCTGGAGAGAAGCAGGTGGTTATGGAAGAAGCGGTAGGTAGTTGGGTGACATATTAATTGTTATTTCACTTTAGTAGATGCTGAATGGTCTTTTATTAGCTTTCATACATAATTTAGATATCATTTCTTCATGTTTTTAGGACTTGCGCAAATCATGGATTTAAGGCCGGTCAGTGATTGTTTTCCCCATTTTCTGAATGGACATGATCTTGTTCTACCCATAGGCTCTCACCATTGAAATAACTGTTTTATTATTGGTTTATAATAGGAAAATATGGTGACAAAAGTATAAGACTTGTAACTTAGACTTGTGGAAGATCATACCTCCACTTCAATTCAACCATCAGAATTTTGTTTGTTTAAGTCTTAGAAAGTCACCTTGGTCAAAATTTAATCCTCATGGAGAGCACACATATTGAACTATGTAGTTTTCAAAATGTGTAAATCTAATTCTTGAAGATTTAATTTGATAGGGTCAAACCTTACTTATAGAAACAAGAACAGAATTTAAAATGTCCTCTTCAGACGGCTAAACACTTGGTAATAAGGGTGCAGAAATTTAGGAGGAAAAACAAATTTTGGCAGAATCCAAATAAAGATTTGAATGTATGTGTTTTACAGATGAACAAGTTGAAGGAACTGCTGGATGAAGCTCCTACCAGAGATCCAGATGCCCCTGAGAAAGAATATACCAGGCGGACACTGAAGGATAGTATTCTTAAAGGAAACCTCACGCCAGAAGAAAAAGAAAATTGTACAAAAAAACTAGAGGTGATTTGATCCATTTGGTCTGTGTTGTCGTTAATATTTAGGGAAAATGAGAGCAAACTTATGCTACTTCAAGTTGGTAATGAGAAGGTTAAAACTAAATGCTGTTTATATTCATTGTACTCTTCCTATTAAAAAAGTAATAAATGATAACATGACAATTAACAACCTTGCTTTTGATGATCTGGTCAATTGTTGGCATTTGTATATATACATCAGGTACATCCTGTCAAAACTATTTACAGAATTAGAATACTTGGTAAATGATGAGGAATAGGAATGGAGAAAAAGACTCATTAAATATTCATTTGTATGGAATTGCCATTATACCCTACCAAATTCAGATGGTGTTCATATCAGCTATGAATGCTGTGGCCCTATTTCTGATGTCATGATTATTATGACATGATAACTTTAACTTTAGATACCACAAGGCCTTCCCAGAAGCTGTTCTATTCTTTGAACAAGCATATACAATGCATCCACTATATAAGAACTAGATACTAAAGTTTGATAGTTTTATTTATCATATTTATCATATTCCAAAATTGGTAAATAAAAGTACTTAACTGCTTTTTTTGCTGACATGTATAGGCAAAATGTAGTATACCAACTGGACAAAGAAATATTCAACTACTGATGAGTCTTTGACTTAATATCCTTTTGGTATATATAGGATCTTAACTGAGCGGCGAGGCTCGTGTCATATCAAATCATTGAACAAGTTAAATAAATTAAATATGACATTAGCACGAATGTAAGACTCTATTTATCAGATGAAATTCATAATTTGATAAAACATCTTCAAACACAAATATGTCTTTAATATCATTTGACTCTTTAAAGGTCAAAATCAAAGTACTATGACCATAGTATAATCACAGTTTTGATCACATGTGTGAATTACCATATTTATAACATGGCCTTATGACATACAGAATGTAGTACAAGGGGTCAGTTATGTGATAAATGAAAATATCCTATGAATGCCAACTGAAATATGTTAAAACTTTTATATTGATGTTGTCTTGTCATGCCTAATACTTTTGTTGTTATTTGATGTAGGTATTGTCTAAGAAGCTTGAAAAGGATGCCCAGCTATCCAGCGATTCTCTGTGGACTACTGTGAATACATTTGTGACAGAAAAGTTGAGAAACTGTGAACAGGCAGACATGGATAATTATGTAAAACGGTTAGAGTCGTGGGAGGGTGAGCGTAAGGTTATGTTTGATCAGCAGGTAGAGGAATATCTCCGTAGTGAGAAGATAGAAGAGATCTCACAGAAACTTGCAGAACTGCAAGAAAAAGAGGAGATCCTTAAATTCTTTGAAAACAAACAGCAAATTAAGAGGGCATTCATAAAAGCTCCATGGGAAAAGGAGGAAGAAAGGGAGCTTACACTGGACGAGCTGGAAGAAAAAGAGAGAAACAAAAAGAACAGGAAGAGTGTTCTATTCAGGAGGCGTCGTTGATACTTTTGTTGACAAAAATAGACATACTGTGGATATTTTCAGAATAAAAGTGTGTGCTTTGTAAGATGTAAATGGAGCTAAGTCAGTGCTCATTCTATTTGGAATTTAAGATAAAATGCTATGATAGTTGTCTGTATTTCACACACAATGTATTACTGAGATTGTGTAACAATGCAAAATCCATATTTCATTTCATTACCAACTAAAATGTACAGAAAACAAAATAAAAGTTTCGTATGGAATTTTTCCCAAAATATTTTTGTACATTAAACATATTCTTAACGAAAGCTACAAATATTTCAGTCTATTGAAACATGTTCACACATTAGGAATTTTACTGTTAAGAATTGTGACAAAATGGAGAAAAAGGGAATGAAAGTAATGCTGGTTACTAAAATTCATCTGGTTTGACAATCCTATTATTTTATAAAGATAAACAATGGAAGAGTCTGATTGGTCAGGTGATCATCTTATGGTGTTCACTGTTGTACAATGTTGGCCTATAGTGGAATGTTTAGATAATTATTATGTTTGCTGTAACTGATTTCATTTTAGGACCATCCAACTATTCTGAGATCCTGGTGAGAACTCTTGAGTAAGATCCTCATTTGGAAACAAATTATTAGGGCCCCACAAAATGTGGGTGCCCTATAGTAATCAGGATGTCCCTCCAACCGTCAGCACTTTTGCTTCTGGAGATTATCTCATGATCCAGATGGCTAAAATTTCTGAAATTTCACATGGTGATGCACTGAAATGTGCAAATGTGCAACAGGGGTTCAAAAAGTTCCTTAGGTCAAGGTCACTGTTACTAAAATTAGAATTGGGAATATACTGGCCAAACTTTCTGAAATTTCTTACGATGATACATTGTGATTATATGCAGATGGGCAATAGTGGTTCAAAAAAATCCTAAGGTCAATGTCGCTGTTACTAAAAGCGGAAACAGGAATGTACTGTCAAAAATACATCATATATAAGGCCCTTACAGAAGGCCAAATTCATCTCAATAACCGAAAGGCCCAGTGTACTTATATTAGGCCTGTAGCATGCTGGGATGAAGGGTTACCAAGTTTGTTCAAATGAATGACCTCGACCCACTTTCAAGGTCACTTGGGTCAGATGTCTAAAAATCTTCAAGCCTGCCCAGGGTACTGATATTAGGCCTGTAGCATGCTGGGATGAAGGGCTACAAAGTTTGTTCAAATAGATGACCTTGACCCATTTTCAAGGTCACATGGGTCAAATATGTAAAAATCTTCAAACAACTTCTCAAAAACCGAAAGGTCCAGGGTACTGAAATAAGGCCAGTAGCATGCTGGGATGTAGGGCTACCAAGATTGTTCAAATGAATGACCTTGACCAACTTTCAAGGTCAAAGGGGTCAAATGTCGTAAAATCTTCAAACGACTTCTTCTCAATAACCAAAAGGCCAAGGGTACTGATATTGGGCCTGTAGCATGCTGGGATGTAGGGCTACCACGTTTGTTCAAATGAATGACCTTGACCCACCTTCAAGGTCACTGGGGTCAGATGTCTTAAAATCTTCAAACAATTGCTTCTCAAAAACCAAAAGGCCCAGTGTACTGATATTAGGCCTGTAGCATGCTGGGATGAAGGGCTACCAAGTTTGTTAAAATGAATGACCTTGACCAACTTTCAAGGTCAAAGGGGTCAAATGTCGTAAAATCTTCAAACAACTTCTTCTCAATAACCAAAAGGCCCAGGGTACTTATATTGGGCCTGTAGCATGCTGCGATGTAGGGCTACCAAGTTTGTTCAAATGAATGACTTTGACCCACTTTCAAGGTCACTTGTGTCAGATGTCTAAAAATCTTCAAACAGGCCCAGGGTACTGATATTAGGCCTGTAGCATGCTGGGATGAAGGGCTACCAAGTTTGTTAAAATGAATGACCTTGACCAACTTTCAAGGTCAAAGGGGTCAAATGTCTTAAATCTTCAAACGACTTCTTCTCAATAACCAAAAGGCCAAGGGTACTGATATTGGGCCTGTAGCATGCTGGGATGGAGGGCTACCAAGTTTGTTCAAATGAATGACCCTGACCCACTTTCAAGGTCACTTGGGTCAGATGTCTAAAAATCTTCAAACAGGCCCAGGGTACTGATATTAGGCCTGTAGCATGCTGGGATGAAGGGCTACAAAGTTTGTTCAAATAAATGACCTTGACCCACTTTCAAGGTCACAGGGGTCAAATATGTAAAAATCTTCAAACAACTTCTCAAAAACCGAAAGGTCCAGGGTACTGAAATAAGGCCAGTAGCATGCTGGGATGTAGGGCTACCAAGATTGTTCAAATGAATGACCTTGACCAACTTTCAAGGTCAAAGGGGTCAAATGTCGTAAAATCTTCAAACAACTTCTACTCAATAACCAAAAGGCCCAGTGTACTTATATTAGGCCTGTAGCATGCTGGGATGAAGGGCTACAAAGTTTGTTCAAATAGATGACCTTGACCCATTTTCAAGGTCTCATGGGTCAAATATGTAAAAATCTTCAAACAACCTCTCAAAAACTGAAAGGTCCAGGGTACTGAAATAAGGCCAGTAGCATGCTGGGATGAAGGGCTACCAAGTTTGTTAAAATGAATGACCTTGACCCACTTTCAAAGTCACAGGGGTCAAATATGTTAAAATCTTCTAACAACTTCTTCTCATCAACCAAAAGGCCAAGGGTACTTATATTGGGCCTGTAGCATGCTGGGATGAAGGGATACCAAGTTTGTTCAAATGAATGCCCTTGACCCACCTTCAAGGTCACTTGGGTCAGATGTCTAAAAATCTTCAAACAGGCCCAGGGTACTGATATTAGGCCTGTAGCATGCTGGGATGAAGGGCTACCAAGTTTGTTAAAATGAATGACCTTGACCCACTTTCAAAGTCACAGGGGTCAAATATGTTAAAATCTTCTAACAACTTCTTCTCATCAACCAAAAGGCCAAGGGTACTTATATTGGGCCTGTAGCATGCTGCGATGTAGGGCTACCAAGTTTGTTCAAATGAGTGACCTTGACCCACTTTCAAGGTCACATGGGTCAAATATGTTAAAATCTTCAAACAACTTCTTCTCAACAACCAAAAGGCCCAGGGTACTTTTATTGGGCCAGTAGCATGCTGGGAGGAAGGGCTATCAAGTTTGTTCAAATGAATGACCTTGATCCACTTTCAAGGTCACTGGGATCAGATGTCTCAAAATCTTCAAACAATTGCTTCTCAAGAACCAAAAGGCCCAGTGTACTGATATTGGGCCTGAAGCATGCTGGGAGGAAGGGCTACCACGTTTGTTAAAATGAATGACCTTGACCAACTTTCAAGGTCACTGGGGTAAGATGTCTTAAAATCTGCAAACGACTTCTTCTCAATAACCAAAAGGTCCAGGGTACTGGTATCAGGCCTGTAGCGTGCTGAGATGAAGGGCTACCAAGTTTTTAAAAATGAATGATCTTGACTAATTTTCAAGGTCACAGGGGTCAAATGTCTTAAAATCTTCAAACAACTTCTTCTCAATAACCAAAAGGCCCAGGATACTGATATTGGACCTGTAGGATGCTGGGGTGAGAAACTACCAAGTTTGTTCAAATGAATGACCTTGACCAACTTTCAAGGTCAAAGGGGTCAAATGTCTTAAATCTTCAAACGACTTCTTCTCAATAACCAAAAGGCCTAGGGTACTGATATTGGGCTTGTAGCATGCTTGGATGACGGGTCACCAAGTTTGTAAAAATGAATGACCTTGACCAATTTTCAAGGTCACAGGGGTCAAATGTCTTAAAATCTTCAAACAACTTCTTCTCAATAACCAAAAGGCTCAGGATACTGATATTGGGCCTGTAGCATGCTGGGATGACGGACCACCAAGTTTGTAAAAATGTATGACGTTGACCAATTTTCAAGGTCACAGGGGTCAAATGTTTTAAAATCTTCAAACAACTTCTCAATAACCAAAAGGCCCAGGGTACTGAAATTAGGCCTGTAGCATGCTGGGATGAAGGTCTACCAAGTTTGTTCAAATGAATGACCTTGATCCACTTTCAACCTGATGTCCTTGTTCGACATTCAAGGTCACAGGCGTCATGTTTAAATCTTCTAATGGGCACTGATATTCTGCCTGTAGCTGTATTTTAGTCCACTTTTAAGATTACAAGTGTGAGATTAATACCAGGTGAGCGATGCAAGCCCATTGGGCCTCTTGTATCCATTTCCTAGTCAGAATTTAGACTGTATGTATTTTCTGAACTGGATATGAAAGGCTGCACCTTAAATGTATAAAGTTATCGGTCAGCAGGGACAATAGTAAATATGTAATTTAAAAAAAATCATCAATATTGTTTTTGATACCAAGCAATGTACTATCTGTGCTAGAGAATAGTGTCTTAAGATATCGGTACAAATGCTTCAGGGCATACAATTTTGTAATAGAATATTGTGTGCTACGATGTCCGCTGTTAGTGATTAAAATAGATTCACACAAAGTCGAGCACGTTTATTGGTAGTTATTTTAATCCTATTTCCATTTATGGTTTGTCTGTTTTTAAATGTAACATTCTTGGGTATAATTTCCTGGCGGACCTGCAAATGTATATGCAGGTCTTGCAAGGCTTTGTGAAGGTTTGCCGCCTTGCAAGGCTTTCCTGAAAATAACATCTGATTACTAGGTCTGACCTTATTTCATAAACAAACAAATTTGGTCCAACCGTTTGGATCACCTCTCATTACTACACAAGTGTAGTAGGACGAAGAAAAGTGATAAAGATAGTGCCGTCGCTGGGGCTTGAGCCCGCGACCCTTGTCTCTCCAGCCCGATGTCTACCGCTGAGCTGAAGGGAATTCCCTACAGCTGACGCTTGTAAGGGAACCTAATCGATGCACATATTTTACACTATTCCTCCCTTTTTTCACACACCAACCCAGGTTCTTTGGCTCCCCGCCAAGGGTTCTCCTACCGTAAACGGGGAAGGTCAACGGCACCAATTTATAATAGGACGAGGAATATTGATACAAGTCGTTGGGGCTCGAACCCGCGACCCTTGGCTCTCCAGCCCGATGCTCTACCGCTGAGCTAAAGGAAAATTCCCTACAGCTGACGCTTGTAAGGCAACCTAATCAATGCATATCTTTTACACTATTCCCCCTTTTTTCACACACCAACTCAGGTTCTTTGACTCCCCGCCAAGGGTTCTCCTACCTTAAACGGGGAAGGTCAACGGCACCAATTTGTAATAGAACGAGGAATATTGATACAAGACGCTGGGGCTTGAACCCGCGACCCTTGACTCTCCAGTCCGATGCTCTACCGCTGAGCTAAAGGAGAATTCCCTACAGCTGACGCTTGTAAGGCAACCTTATCAATGCACATCTTTTACACTATTCCCCCTTTTTTCACACACCAACCCAGGTTCTTTTACTCCCCGCCAAGGGTTCTCCTACCTTAAACGGGGAAGGTCAACGGCACCAATTTGTAATAGGACGAGGAATATTGATACAAGTCGCTGGGGCTTGAACCCACGACCATTGACTCTCCAGTCCGATTTTCTACCGCTGAGCTCAAGTAAAATTCCCTACAGCTGACGTTTGTAAGGCAACCTAATCAATGTACATCTTTTACACTATTCCCCCTTTTTTCACACACCAACCCAGATTCTTTGACTCCCCACCAAGGGTTCACCTGTACCTTAAACGGGGAAGGTCAACGGTACCAATGTGTAATAGGACGTGGAATAGTGATAAAGATGGTGTCATCTTGGCCTCGAACCCGCGACCCTTGGCTTTCCAGACCGATGCTCTACCGCTAAGCAAAAGGAAAATTCCCTACAGCTGACGCTTCTAAGGCAACCTAATTAATCCACATCTTTTACGCAAGTAATGTTTTCTTAGGTACCGTAGTAGAATGGCGAAGGCCTTTTTGACGGCAACCCCTATATCTATACGTTCATTTCGGAATACTTTATTGTATAGATGTAAACAATAGGAAGGGGCAACAGGCAAAGCCTATGAAAGCTCGGTCCTTACAACGACAAATAATGTATACACTAAATATTTATTAAATGTATAATTTATTATAAAGATAAAATGATTCCCAGTTGTTGCAAATGTAGTGCTAACCTACTACTATACAAGGGTGGTCTCTAACACAGTATCAGTCTGTCTGTCACACATGAATCGGCCTGGTGGCCGTCACAGACGAATTGTGCTGATTATGACCGAATGCAAATTCTCCCGAAACGGGTTAAAAGAAAGATTAATAATCTTTTGTGTCTTGTAAACTATTGATAACACATTTCTTGATTACAAAATGTGACTTTTAGATCGGTAAAACAAAATAATGTCTAAGCTAGCAATATTTCCAGGACTCTGTTATTAGATAATGATGACACCATATCGTTTTGTGCCATATGCCTTTTATTTTGTACTAGTGATCGGTTTAATTATTTTTTGAAAGATAAGTACTAATCAAGCATTTTATCATGGTTGGGGTTAATATATGTAGTATGGTCAATACATGGTGGTCAAAAATTTTCCTGATGGTCGCCTCGGTTCCCTGCACATGATGGACAAGGACCCCTCTGTTAGTCGCCGTGGTTCCGAACACTGTTCTGGTCCTCGATACATAATGGACAAGATCTAGAACCGTCGTGGTTGTCCCGGTATTCGTAACAAATCTGATACAAAAACATTACTTCTGTTTGTCTCGACTCCCCGATACATAGAAACAAAAGCAGTCCACAGTCCACAGTACTAGTGGTCACTTTATAATCCCCAACACATAAGAACAACAACGGCCTACTCATGAACAACACCTGTATTGGGGATCACCTTGATTCCTAACACATGAACACTAACTATACATATATTCATATCATTAACGCTGGTTAGGTGAAGAACAGAAAACGAATTCGGGAAAAATCCTCAATACAAAATATAACAACAATGATATAAGAAATAAACATTAAAATACAGCATAGTAATAGAATGATACACGTGTTATATTCTCGTCCTCAATGTTTGTACACTGAATACTCTGTTAGGTCCCTTTGCTGATAAAACGAATACGAGTCGTTAGCATACATACAGTAACCACTTCCATTGTGCGAAATATATATGGAATATGTCTCTGTTCATGTTGATGTATTGAATAAATAATTCCTCCGTTGTAATGCAATCGTAAGGAACTGATACAACATAGCAGCAAACACGTTCCGAACGTCTACTGTGGCGCACCACTTCCTCTATAGTCGTGCCGAACGTCTACTGTGGCGGACCACTTCCTCTATAGTCGTGCCGAACGTCTACTGTGGCTCCCCACTTCCTCTATAGTCGTGCCGAACGTCTACTGTGGCGGACCACTTCCTCTATAGTCGTTCCGAACGTCTACTGTGGCGCACCACTTCCTCTATAGTCGTTGACAATATTAGTTAACTGTAACAAAGAGCAGACATGGTCAGGTAACCAATCATCAGTATTGCCCCTTTCGCGTATACAACATATTCAACTGTTTAAACCAGCTGAACATGAAAACCCCCACGACCGACTCAGATATAAACAAGGCTGACCTCAGAAATATTCGGCATGTGCATATCGAGGTGTCCAGACGAAACCTGACCGAAACTAAAATAATGCTTATGGTTTAAAATAATGCTTTAATTCTTTAAAAAAAGGTTGCTTCACATGTATATACAAATGTACATTTACACAGCGTTTACCCACACTGGCCAACATCTGAAACGACATCGTCAGTTTACACAGAAGGAAAACATAACACCATCTACGAAGCGCTATTAATCTTGGCAATACCAGTTCAAGCCTTTCTCTACTCTTAGACGACAAGCATAAACTGATATCAATATTATATGTGTGAAGTAACGAGAGTATGGTTTAATGATTGAATGATTGACGGATATTTTTGACTTCTGAAATAATTAAAAACACATTATTTAACTTAATCAAGAAATTTAGATAGAGATAGTTTCGTTTTCTTATTCTATTTTTTTCTTCAAACATAAAGCAGTTGTACAATACTTGCCCAGGTATGGAATGTTGCGGCTGCTGGACTGCGCAGACAGACCGTCTCCTCGTTGAAGCCGTTTGTGAGCGCATCCACTTCCTCTATTATGTCTACCGTCAAGTGCACCGTGTCAAACTCGCGGACTCTATTGATCAGCCCTCTCTTCCCCAGCATGCCCAGAACACATTGCACTGACTTCCAGTTCTACATATTAAACAATAGAGAAACAACATTCGTGAGTCTGTACATACCCAGACAACTGACAGCCTAAACCGAGCCAACACCAAAACAAACGGGAAGTCACCAAATGAAATAATTCCTTGTTTCATAAGTAATAGCGAATAACTTTTTGAAAACGACAAAAAGCAATTTTCTAACACCAAAGTGACATATATTCTTATTTTTTGAAAGATTTGTTCGTCCACAAAGTACTAAATGCACATGTCACCTTGACGTTTTCCCTTGGTTCTCCAAGCATAATATAAGTGGCCAACATGACATCATGGACCGGGACTGGTGGGATCTTGTATCGGTGAAGTTCCGAGACAGTCTGTTGTTTAAGCTGAAGGACTCCATGAGCAAACTTGTGGAGCTTGGCCAGATGTTCTCGTAATCCCTCAGCCTCCTCTATCTTCGGCCGAAGTTGTTGTTCGTGTTCTGAGGTTTTGGCTTTCGCTATGGCTGCATCCAATACTCCAACATTGCGGCGGAGGATTGCATCTCGAAGATCTGTACATTATATCATAAAGATATTTAAATACCAGTAAAATGATTTTGGAATGACTGTGCAGACACACATTTGTTGTCAAATGTTTGGAGAGATCTGTACCTAGCTATGTGAAACTAACATTGCATACAGACACATCACGTACAAACATACACAATTTCTTCAATGTTTGTCTGGTCAAAGGTCCGGACCATATTGAAGGATTTTGGTATGTCTCGGCTTGAGGACAAAACCTATTGCCTTCCTCACAATTAGGCCAAAAGTTCAATGGTGTAAAGAGGGCGTTACGTAGTATAAAGAACAAGAAGAAAGAATAGGGAAAGGATAAAATATAAAAGAAAATTACAAAATATTTTAAACTGTCTTTCGCCTTTTCCTTGTTTTCGGAATGTTTGTTAACTGTATACTGCATTAATTTTACAGTCACTCATGCTGAATGCTGATAACAGAAACCTGTGACCTGATTAACTTGCCTCTCTTTAGTTGTAAAAACACCTGTCTGTTGATGGCTTCCGTTAGATCTCCCTTGTCCTCTAGGTCGAGTTGAGTAAATGCTTCGATCGCCGTGGTCAGTGTGACGTAGTCGGTTCCTTCTGTTGCTTTTATCATTGATTCTCTTACTTGTCTTTCAAGTTTGTTCTGTAATATAGTATGTCTTTCCATTGACAATGCAACAGTGTAAGATGTTCTATACGAATATAACGCACGTTTCCCCCGACATTGTCACTATGTGTGTAGCAGTATAGAATTATGTAAAGCCATGTGTCATTAAGCAACACATCTTTTTTACAGAGTATCACGGAACTGCAACGTACAAATTTAGCGGTACTCTTATTTTATCGGTTTTCACGCTTGAAACATTGTGCTTATTTATGATTGCGCAAATCGAAGTTTTTATATATACAATATTGTAGTTTTTTTATTGCATATATTGTGACCGCACCAATTAATCAATTCGATAAAACGCTAACATTTGTGTCCTCTAAAATAAGTACTCTTACAGTAAGTGGATTTTCTTATAATAGAAGACATATTCGCCTAGGAAATTCAACAATGCTACATGTATTTGTACAATATTACTTGACCATTATGTTGTTATTTACGTATTATATAATGACTACACTGTAGTAATATGCACACCTCTGGTTTTCTCTTTCTTTGAACATTTTGGTCACTGGAAATCAAATAATTGCACGCATTGGTTTCTTCTGTAGTTTTCAAGTCCGTCGTGTGTATGCGCAAGGCATATTCCCCAGCCCCGGGAACTTTAACAGCCACCCTTAGCTTCTTCTCAACGTCTATATCTTGCGATACGCATGCTCGAAGATCCTCTGACGTAGAGCCATTTTGAACTAGTTCTGTTCTTACTGTTACGTCGTTAATGACTGAGAAAATGAAGTAAATGTCCCGTCTGCCGGAAGTGTGAACGATTCCTTTTGTTTGGGAGGGTGACGTCAACCCTGCCTTCGATGTGTCTTTGCTTGGACCCCAACCCGCCGTACCAACTTGGCACGGGAGGGGCTGATTTCGATCGTTTACTTCGTTGCAAATAAGTTTGAAGCTGCATATCCTAAAAAGAGCACCGTCATGCTGACCACAGTTGATTGACAGCTTGTACATTCCTACACAGGGACAGCGCGCGTGGAATATCCACATTGAACTACGGCGTTCCATCATGACGTAGCGTTCCAGCTGGAGATCTTTAGGCAGGGGATTAACTGATTCATGGTCGTTGTAAAATAGCAAATACGACAAAACCCCAGACCATGTTGGATTCGTGATTTTAAAACCTATACTTATTTCTCCTTGTTTCGAATGTAAACATGCTTTGTTGTCCGTAAAGAGCTTGACATCGCCATTAAAATAATATGGACGCAGGTTTGCTATATCCGAAATTTTTTTGATGTCATATACGTCATGCAAAAACTGCCATTTAGGATTATTGGCCATAGCAACAGTAACGAACTCGTCAGGGTCGGGCAAGAAAAAATACTGGTTAAACTGAGCCACATTTACCCCAGACGATTGTACCTCCTTTTCTCTTGCTGCCCCTCCTGGAAAAAAATACGGGTTTGGTTAGAAAATAAATCCATCAGACTCTTAACCTATTTAATGAAAATGCATCGCCCAGGAAAGTTGTATCGGGCCCTTTACTCGGAATATAAAAGGCGTTGTTCAGCTGTCAACAGTGTTTATCATAACATTACCTAGACAGTATAGAATATCTAGAAATCATATCGATGAATATTCATCGATATGATTTCTAGATATTCTATACTGTCTAGGTAATGTTATGATAAATACTCCACACTGATCTCTCCCTTATTCTTCCTCCATGAGTTTGGATATTTATATTTGTTTTGTTTTAGCGACTCCATGATTTACGCATCCGACACTGCTAATGAAATTTCATTCCTGAAAAACTGATACAAGTATTTCATTTCAAAAAAAGATATATGTTATTTTCCTCAGTTTATACCCGAGTGTAGTATACCCACTTAGAGATTTTACCAGTGTATTTATTCCTTCGTAATGTATTGTTGTCATTGACTTTATCAGATTGAGAGAAGACCTGCATTTTCAATAATTTCATGTGCTAATTTTGTATAAATAGTATGATCACTAACAGCATTATTGGTTTCTGGATGTCCCAAAGAGTGACCAATTTGGATGACACCCACCTTTACTTTCCACGAGTGTATATTTGCCGGTACTATGCCCACTGACCGCCGCGAATGCCCATAGTGGGAAGACCAGTCTCCATTCCCCGTCCACGTACACACCGTTCCACCTGTTGTATTGTTTGCTGACCACGTTCTGACTGTCACCGACTTCATAGCCAGCCGATTTAGCAACACCCTCGATGATAACACACGGAATATTGGCCTCCCTGTCAACAGGTACACACTGTATCAATTTTCGAAATCCACAGGATCCACTAGTACTATTGAGGCATCCATATTCTCTAAAACTTTGCCATGCCAAATTCGAAGGCTCGCTATTTGATTAGTTTTTGAAGTATATTTTAATTAAGATTACAAATTGTCACTTGATAAATGGACATGAAATATTGATCCCTACTCCACTCTAGCTTTTGTAATATGCTACACATGAAGGCATGTCTTAAATGACCTTAGCTGTTAATCGGATGTTAAACATAAATAAACAAAACCATATTTTTTACATTGTATTTATATATACTTATCCCATAACAATATTGTTTTGCAGTATGATCGTGTTATATTTTGTGACAATCAACTGATCTATTTGATTTTTGATCTTGGCTATTTACATGTGATCCAATTAATGTGTAATGTCATTATTTAAAATGGTATAATTTAGTTCAATATGCAGTCATTAAATCTAGTTTATGGGATAAGAAAGCTTTTGAATTCGATTCCATATTATATAAGATTTATGCATAAAAAAAAAACAATTTCAAAAATCGATATTAGCGAAAAGATGCATGGACATTTCCATTTAATAGGGTACTCACCTGCAAAGCCTCGCGAACAGGTAACAGTAGGACATTTTGTTGCGTTTGATTTTTATAATAATGTCATTCGGGGAGTCCCGAGGCCCCCCTGGCGGTGGGTGTTGGTTCCTACACCCGATCCAGTAGAAGATTGCCCGGACACGCTGAAGGTCGGTAGTAAGACCTTCCATCAGGTAGTTCAACAGATCTTCAAAGCCGTTTCCTACTTCATCTGGGGCCTTGAAAATGAGCAGAATGATTTCAAACTGAATGGATATGATAATACAAACGTAAAGCAAGGGCGATGGAAAGAGCAAAACATACATTCAATTGTAAAAATTTATAGACAGTTTTTTAATTTTATTTTTGTTTCAACAAGTCAAAGTATCAAATCAATGAACTCAAAAACAGTTGCATAAAAGAAGTATATGCAGTGATGTTGTTTAGGGGGTCGGTAAATATCGCTTAAGATATGGTTTGAATGATATTTCCTTGACAAAGAAATGTTCTTATTTCAGACCTTCAGCCGCTAGTTGTATTCTGTTGACACTAATACTCGGAACACATCATATATCGGATAGACAGCTTTCGTCCTGTGATATTATGTTATAAATGCTTTTATGAGAATAACATTCATCTGTTTAGTTTCCTGCGAACAAATCTCACTATTATAGGTACAGTACTCCTATTATCAAAACGAAGACAAACTCAATCATTTCAAATAACACTATGCTAATTTTATTTAGATATAGTTACTTTTTGTATGACATATATGATTGCCAGGGTTTCAAACATTAAGCTGGTAGAGCCAATGCCGATAATTCCTCTAATAATTCCAGTTAGATAATATGAAAACTGTGATGTTACATTTAATTATGTTGCATTGTGCTCAGCCAAAAGACAAAACGAATATTGTAACCGCCACAATATATATGCATCGCGACATGACTATACGCTGAATGTCATATATATAGTGAGTTCAAACTGAATACAAGACTAACCAGATTCCACGTATGCATAGAATTTGCCTACAGAACCTTTAATTCGCCCGACACCCCCCCCCCCCCCCCCCCCCCAAATAAAAGGCGATAAACTCTCTATCCTCATTTTTTGTCAATTAGGTATGTTTTGATGCATATTGGTTTGGTTTTAATGTTTACTACACAATACATTTTATCTATTGGTTTTAAGACGTTGTCTATTCAGCTGATTTTTTAACATGTTTTTGAAAGGCAATAATCTGTGCCCCTCCACCTGCTAAAATGTATAGTCCAAATAAACGATAAACGACATTCTACTATACACCGAAACAGAATGAAACATTGGAATAAACACTTTGAATCGCTCAAGTTGGTGATGATTAATCAATGAGGAAAAAACCCCAGAAGAACAAAAACTTTAAGTTATAATTGAAAACATCATAGCGGAATTAAAAACACATTTATTGTTAGTTAAATAACAAGTGACTCATTCACCAGCTGTTTGTTTTTTATATAAAACTATCAAATATACTACATGCGTCTTAACATTGATATCTGTATAAATAAGTAATAATGGAAATTTGCTGGATTGATAAATGTACTTACCGTATTTGCTTTGTGATCTATCTTTTTGAATTCATGTTCTTTACAGAGATTTTTCTTTTTCGAGTGCGAGGGTTTCGGTGGAGGATATCCATGTGGTATGTATGGAAAATCAGGCTAAAAACACAATCGACCATATACAATTACGTTATTTTAGTAAAATTGTACGTGTAGAATGTAAATATACAACCATCTAATAAAATTGATTTCTATTTTAATACATGTAACATTCAAAATCTACGAAATATACTTTCAATAATGAATAACAGGTACATGTACCTCTTTTAAATACTTTATCCACCTTGTTTTTAATTTTTAGAAACAGGATTATAAAGTACACAGTGCATTGTACAATATTTCATTAACCAAACCATGAAATATACATTAATATCTTGGACAAAGCAACAATGTGTCACGTTGTCATTATCGCGAGATCTCTAAGGTATATGCACACAGTACACATATCTAACTGTTGAAGGGTTTATTCCCACATAAGGCCGGGAAATACCTTTAAATCTTTTCCTATTATAGTCTCTTAAAATACCTTTAGTCAACCAAATAATATATCGTCTTTATAGCACTGTCTTTGATTAAAATATATCTCCTATCGCAGTTACACCTGAACGAGTGCTTAAGAAAATATCTTCCGAGCTGTTACCTGTTTTGTTATGCTATCATTATGTTTAATAAAGATTTAGAGCGATTTGTAATGGTTTGTACTTATCAATGAAATAAAAATACTATCGTCTGAATATTTCCTATCAATAACTGTGGCAAGATTAATTTTCGATATTATATTCTCTAATATTACAAGATACTTTACTTGCCTTTCAGGAAAAGCAATATATAGGGTAAATGTTGTTTCGTGTACGGAAACAGTGTCATGTGATATTGTACTTTACAAATAAAAGTAGTGGTAGTATACATAATATTGACAATGCAGTTATGCATATATGTTTATAAGAGATAATGAATAAAGAAACTAAAAGAAATGTAGTGAAAATTAAATAATAATAACATTAAAACAGGTGTAATGACCAGACTGTAATGTATAATAGTTATTATAAGTGTTTCTACTAGAACACTGTGTTTACATTGTTAAATAAAAGATGAGTTGCAACCAATAAGATCAATACTCACGGGGTCAGTATTGGCCTCGGTCAGAAGTCCTTCGTCCTCCTCCCCACTATGTGGTATGCTAGAACCTCCACATCCCATGCCTTATTCTGTATTTATAGTTGATTAATTAAAACAATGGTGTAATACTATCTAAACAGATCCTGCCTTCATATAACTGTTATAAATATAAATGTTTACAACAGACATTATGATTTCTATTAGCTTGAAGTTTTGGAAGTTTTATCTAATGTACGCCTGCTTAAATAATATTTTTTATTTCTTATTTTTAACAACTTGTTTTACACATGCAACAGCGCGATTTGCATACTCATTATACTTACTGTTTCTACTTATCCTACACCCGTGGGTTGTTCTTCTCACCGTGTTGTTTAGTATATGTATGTATCTAGCACCAGAGAATGTGAACGGTATTCTCGGAGCCGCTAATAACATTGATTCTCCGTCTTGTTCAGTGTGTTTTGTCTAACAGCACATGCTCGTCCATTATATCACCATCCATTTTGTTTACCGTTGTATGTGTTAACGAACGTTATAAGTCAAGTTTAACAGTATGCCCTGTCGGTAAACTATTGTACCTTGTTTAGAAATAGATTACGAAGGGAGACAAATCAATTTCATTAAGCTGGTTAATTGACCCCACGTGTTACATTATCTTACCTTGTGTATCATTAAACCACATACATATCTACAGGTCTACCGGTTATTGTAATTGTCAGTGCTCGATGTCACAAACTATTGAGTTAAACGACACGGTACGTAATAAAGCTCAAAAAATAAATATAACATAATAGTCATCTGAAACAAAGCTAAAACAAAGTAAAACTAATTATTCATATTGTTATTTATTGTATGAAGCAGTTTAATCACTCCTTCATTTAAAATATGATGCAATGAATGAGTGAAATAAGCTGATATATGACAACAATATATACTAGTATTCTTTTTCTAAACGTGAGACCAACTACAGACATGACTCCATTATTTGATATGCGGGATATTTTGTTCAAAGCTTACTTTAAAAAATAAATTTGCAATTCATATAGCACACCATGCAATTCTTATAATAGAAAATATAGAATTTGATATCACAAAAGGTATGTTATTTAATATACAAACGAGTAAAATTGTATAAACGTTCATTAACATTACATTACAAGTAACTTGGTTTTCCTGAAAACGCCTTAAAGGGGAAAAACCTTTCGAACACGAACAGAATCAGAAATAATAAATGATGTAAACAATAAAATATTTAAAGGTGTGTTTTTGTAAACAAGGTTACAGAAACAATGTTTCAGACTGACATTAGCTTGTCATAGAGATAAGATATATCAATCATCATTAGTCATCAATGTCTAAATTATCTGTTGAGCTTATTATATAATGAATTAAAATATATCTTGGCTAGTGATATTAGATTCTTATTTACTGTTAATATTAATCTATTAATACCGAGGCATTTCTTTTTTTTAAAGACATCTCCAGGTGAGGGTAATAGGTGATTAATTGATATTTGTAGAAGTTAATTGACGACCATCAGCAACACTTTTGCGCAGACAAGTAAAGGTATTATTATAGCTCCTATCTTTTCCGGGTTTTTTGTTCGTGATAGCCATAACTTTCAGATTGAACGATTTATGCGGCAACTGCCGTACATCTGTGCGTTTTCTTCTTGCAGTAAGACGTTTAGGGATTGGGTATAATTATATCAACTCAAACATGTACATTGTGATAAATGGACAGAGAGTCGTGGCATAACAAGCTATAATAAGCTATATTTCTTCCGATGTTAGCATTACAACCGACTGTCTCCATCGTCGTAGCCACACACATGATGATTATATACGGAATATTGGCTTTCCTGTCAACGAATATAAACGGTATTACGTACTATTACGACAACTACATGTATCTAGAACGAGAGTTAAAGTACCAAACTGTGTGGAATAACAGTTATACAGAAAGGATGGTATATATTTGCAGTTGTAGGAATATATATAGCTTTCTGTTTGTTTTTAATATTTTAATGTCTATGTTTGTAAGGTATAGTTAGTCTTTTGTTTGTCGTGAAAAGGAGCGGGGTGCTCGGAAAATACGTCTACACTCGACATCACTTAGTGTTCTAGTGTATACATCTACCTACAACTGCAAAATATACATGATGTGCGGCCAGTGTCTTGCCATTGTAAGTTCTTCATATGATACGTCATTATAATAAAAGACCGATTGTTATACCAAGGTTGCAACTCGTAGCGGTAAATAAACACCAAATAGTTATATACCAGATATTGTAATAACCGTTGGATTTATTTTTTATGAATGTGTGGGAAAACAGGTTGCTAGCCTAAGTGTTTATTTTACTGTTTTCCTTGTGTATCTCTTTATGACCTCCTAGTGTAACTAAAGGTACGGTACGGTTATTCTATCGGCGTATGTAGCGGATATCACTGGTGCAGTCTATTTGTTTATAAGGGTGTTTACTTTTGAGATGACCGGATGTTGGGGACTTACCGGAAGAAGTTCTGGGCTCACTGCGCATACGCCATATATCAAGCCAATCAGAATGGGTCTTCGATACATGTTACATAGGGCCAGGAGGCTGGAGTATAAAAGGGGATGCACGAGCAAAATCTGGGACTTGCGTGGCCTGAATGCCCGCTTTACCAGGAGGGGAAAACCCCTCCACCGAGGCGCTGAAAACAATGCTACCGATGTACTGAAAGCAGTACACCCACGTTACGGAACGTTAGGGTAAGGTTAAGGCTGGTTAGCTTAACGTATTTCAGTGTTCCGGGAGGGGGTGGTTTTCACCGTTATAGAATAGTTACATTTACCTATGGGCCTTATTTTACCAGGTGGGGGCTGATATTCATAGGTTCACTTCACTTCATTCTTTTCTCTACACTGTAGGTTTTGTTCTGTCTTGTATTATATACTATTGTTATTAATGTACGTATTGTTTGCCATGTTTTAACGGCTACCTTAGCCGTGTGATATGTAATAAACGTTATTAACTTTAAAACAAGGTGTTGATATATTTATAGATCGGATACTCCTCCTCTTCTGTCGGACCTGTGTCTAACTGTACAGCCGGACGCAGCGGGACTTTCTTGGGGATTGCCGCGGTCAGTTTGTCGGTTTGCCGAAATTACTATACGATCACCTACATCTACCGACGCTGGACAGGCTCTCCCGACGAACTTCCTATTACAAATGTTGCATACCGTTAAAAATTGTATTGCAAAAATTGCAAAATGTTCGTAATTTTTTTTTTTGTGATAATTAAATAGATTACATATGATTTTTCAATTTTGCTATTCATAGGCTGTTCAATTAATTTATAATGTTATTATAAGAACAATAAACTGACGACTGTATATAATCATGGAGTTTTCTTATCCATTGTGTTTCCATTTGACATGATATTTAAATGACGGTCTTACCGTATGTCGAGCGAATGTGGATATCCATGGCGTTTTTGTATTGCAGTCAGTTGTAAATCTTGTACAAGCTGTTTGAAGAGGAATGAGATCAGTTGGTTGTTGATCGACAAAATGATTCGAACAGTTGGCACCTGGCGGGTCATGCTCTTAGCGTTTTGTGGTGCTCAAATCATTTTCCTCTCACTTTAAGATCTTTTTCCTAGGTTGGATCTGGAAAAAACTTTACTCCGTGAAAATAACCAAAGGTTACACGTTTACTGTAACTGTCTACCAGGAATTTTCGCCGTTTAATGTTTGTCTTTTACATCTTCAGTAAGAGGATGAATTTATCATTAGAAACAATGTAATAAACAGTAATGGAATGTGATGGGCACAATGAGCACTGGGCAAATACATATGTTACCGGCGTAGGGCAAAAGGTTGACTGGTCGAAAGTTTCCTGTTTCAATGGTTTTGTCAATAAACTAAATGACATTTAAAATCTTCTTGTAAACAACAATGACCAGGAAGAACCATGGACCTATTTTTTTTAAAATAACCTGACATATGTGATTTAATTACAAAAAATAATAAGACAGTTTCAGGATTAACTTGGAACTGAAGCAGTATGATCACTTTCGAGAGTATCTTACGTCAGAGTACTCGGTCAAGTGTTTTTTTCTCTCTCCAATTTATGATTCAAGCTGGGAGAAAATCTCTATCCATTCTTCCTCATCAATTTACCGTCGGTCGCCATCTTGATGTTTTCTTAAAATTTCAAGAGATAATAGCAAAGCAATGCATTTTTTCTACTCTCAATCTGCAACGTCATTGACTGCAGAAAAATATCATGATTACCCATCTTTTTACTTGTTGTTCACTGACCTGAATTTCATATGGCCATTTCTAGACACCACTCTATATATCGTTCAACAATTCTTAAACATAACAATGTTAACTGGGTAAGAAAAAAAAAGAACGATATACTTCTATTATTGATTTAAAATTAAACAGTACTCCTCTAATTGAGTTATATCTTACTGTTGGGCTTTTTTTTAGGTCCCCTGAGGTTTGCCACAATGAATGATCACAGTTAAGTCTCTTGAGCAGTGGCAGGATTCATAATGTACACACATTTCTCACTATTTATATGGAATAAAGCAGTACTGCGTAATCATTTTCTTAATTTCTATATATTACAGGTTTAACGCACCTCCTCTACTATTTCAACAAAAGATGAACCAGCGGTATGGTGCAGTGGAATTCATGATTTTTTTTATACTGTATACAGTCTGTACCAATTATCAAACTTTATAAGTGTTATTGTTTCAAAGCAAATGTTTTTTCTTCAAATAAAATAATTTTGTGCCCCCCCCCCCCCTTTACATTTTTTTTTTCACGAATCAGTGAACTCGCATATTAACACATTAACATATTGACCTCGCACACCAACATTTGAAATCTGAAATACCACACTGTATTTACCTCGCATATTAATATATTATACTCGCACAATATCAATGTTTCTCACCTTAACCTGTTGAACTCACCTATTTACAAAATGAAATCTATCATTAACATATTTAGCTCGCATATTTACATTCTGAACTCGCACACTAAGTTATTGACATGTAACATACTGACCTACTGTTGAACTAAACTCGGACTTAAATATCATATATGAACTCACTCTTCAATGTATTACGCTCGCACCTTTAACATATTGAACTAGCATTTTAACAAAATTATTGAACTCACTTTCTAATATATTAAACTCACATTTTGACATATTGAACCCGCACAGAAAACATATGGACCTCGCACGATAATAAAGGGAACTCGAACATTTATCATATTGCACTCGCACTTTAACATATTGAATTTACTGATATGTCCTAGAAGGACGAAATAGCTGTATGGTGCATTGGAATTCGTTCATTTTTGTAAACTGTTTATTAATAACCAAATATATTCTAAAGGTGCTATTTCATTTGTATGTCTCGCTGATCATTTATCAAGATACAGATGGTAGACTCTGCTGGTTGGTTTCTTAGTCCCTTAGGTTTGCCGTAACGTTGAAGCCACAACAATATATTTTAAGCAGTGGCACGGTTCAAAATATACACTCCTTACTTATCATAACAACTTAAATAGAAATAAACCTTTACTCCTCTAACTTTTGAAATTCGTATAATTGAAGAGTGTTGTGACCCCCTTTTCTTTTTTAACAGAAGTCAATAATAGAATAGTAGACCAATAATGATTTTATCTTGTTTGAACCAAAACATCACCGATGGATGAGCTGTAGAAGGAAAAAAAGTTTTCCATACTGCATTACCCGAATATTATTGATTTGATTGCATGTGTGTGTCGTACATTTATCTTTTAAGATACACGATGGTAGATCTTGCTGGTGGGCTTTTAAGTCCCCAAACATTTGCCAAAATTGATGACAACAATTCTCTTGAGCAGTTGTACAGTTCATAATATACACACACTTATTATTAATTTAATTCATATTATTAAGGTGTTTTTTGCACAAGTTTCAACATGAAATTTCGGATTTCACCTATTGTTTTGATTCCCCCCCCTAGCATCACCGATGAGTCCTAAAAGGACGAAACAGTTGTATGGTGCAGAGTAAATCAGTTTTGGAATACTGTATGTATTACCACATTTTATAGGTGCAGTCTTATGTGTGTGTTTTACCTTCATCTTTCTTATCGCCTTGGCATTAAGATTTGTGCCTTATTTGTCAAAAATAAAGTCTAAAGTACATTTATATTGATTTCCAATTGTACTTTTTAATAATGTTTTTTGAATCTCATCTGCTGTTCATGAGGAACATATACGTTCCGATGCATCTTAATTTCAATTAGAGGTACATCATAACAATCTTAGAAATGTAATTGCTTAGAAAAATATATATGAAACTATCTGTCTAAAACTATCGATTTGATATCTGGAATGACAAAAAGACTCTGAGAAAGTTTAGACATATGCAAAAACCTAGCTAAACAATCGTTCCGTCTTTTAGAAAATAAAAATTACAGGGAATTTAGACACTCAGATTAACTTCAATAATAATTGTTGATATTTTCTAAAACATTTACTATAAAACTCGTAGAATTTTTGCTAAATATCAAATCGCTGTTTTTCCGGAATCAAGAAAACGAAGATACAAAACGTTGGGGTAAATATCAAGTTTGGCTGTGGTAAGTGTTGCCTTTAAAAACTTAAAAACATATGTTTGGTTCGAGAAAAGTCATACTTGTCATATTACGTTGGAATATTTTTATTATTACTTTTGCGGTTCATGTTTATTATGTACATACTTACATTTGATGTAGTTTCAAAATTTTCTTCACCGAGTCAACTTTTAACCAAACAAAGACGCTTGTCACTACACAATCTATAGACAATTGGTTGTGTAATATTGTTCATAAACGTATAATCAAATTATCGAATATTGTTTTACATTTTCGATTAATATGATATTCATACATGTGTTATATAATCAAACCAATAAATAAATATCAACATGTTTTTTTTTTAAGTTGTAAGACGTAAGAATTGATCAAGATGACATCAACCGGCAAAGTAAGTGAAACAAAGGCATTTCAATTGGTATTTTTTTTTTATATAGAACAGCAATTTATCGAAAAATAATATCCATATTAAAATAATTCACAACAGGTTTGTTGTTATCGATTACCAGTTTTATCCTTTAAATGAAGAAATCCTGTTTCACATATACAGTTGTGGGACCGCACAACGCACCAAAAATAGCGTGCGCACACCGTGCATACATCGTTCACACACCGTCCGCACATCGTCCACACATGGTGCGCACAACTGTGCGATTTAGCAATCGTTCGCCCCGTTGTGCGCTTCTCTCCGCACAACTGTGCGATTTGGTATCATTTGTAGATCAAAATTACGGAATGACAAAAATACGGAAGGCTTGTATGCGATAATGTACACTGTGTATATATCTGTAATTTCTCATCACAATAATCAAGATTATACAATTTCAC